TTAAAAAAAAAAAAAAAAAAGGAAAAAAAAAAAGAAAATTCCTTTATTGCTGGTCCATGGTAATCTATCCTAGTTTTTAAAAAAATCTTTTCTGCTCTCTCAATCCACTGTTTTAAAGATAGTGTTTTAACTCTGATAAAGATCCAGTTTTAAGGATAGTTCCCCCTTCTTTTCTCTTTCCTTTCTCCCCCCCTCCCTCACCTCTCCCTCCTGTCAGTTCTGCCCACCCCAAAGCCTTGGCTAACCCTCCCCCCATTCCCCACTCCACCCTTCTCCTCCACCCCTACCCTGGAAAAATCGTTTTCCATGAAACTAGTCCCTTGTGCCAAAAAGTCGAGGGAGAGATACTTTCTGACACACTCCAGATAATTTCTTCACATCTGTCTTTGAATTCATTGTTTTCAGCTGTGTGTGTACTAGGTGGTGGCATCCATTATTTATACAACTTCAATTATTTTTTTCACTTCTAAAATAATATTCGCTGCTTTTTCAGATTTAGTCATTTTTGATGGTCTCTTGTTATTTCATCGGACTGAATAACCCCTTTTAATTTTGATACATATCATACATATTCTTTTTTGTCTGTGACTGATATTTCTAGTCTTTGAGCCTTCAGTTTCTGTTACTTTTAACTCTCACTCATGGTGACTTGTGTGTGTTAGACTGTGAACTGGTTTTCCAGATACACACTGTCTGGGGTCCCTGGCAGGCTGTGTTCAGTGTGTTCCTTGCAGAGTGTTTGTATGTGGCAGTGCAGTGCAGGACCACGGTGACTGAGAGTGTGGCAGGGGAGTGTGGTCACATCCATGATACTAATTTTGGTCTCAAATCCATGTGAGTGTAAGTCTGGTGGTAGGATTTCTCCAGGGAGATATTTTAGTTATTTCCATTCTATCTACAGCCAAGAATGGGACAGGCAAGTGTCCCTGCTGTCTCTGTGTGGTGGTACTTTTCTTCCTAATAAATCCTCCACTTGGATCTGATCTCCCACCCTGTTTGGAGCCTCAGCCTGTTGTTTAAGTGCCTGCTTTATTACTGACTTGTCTATGCTTTGAACTTTCTTGGCATTTCTAGCCTTCTCAAAGCAACCTGCATTTAATGGATTATATTGTTTTAAAATGATATCATTTTTTGGTTTTTCTAGATATCTGTTCTGGCATATTGTCATAAATGGAAGTCCCGGTCTATTTATGAAGGCATTTTCATCTTTCATACCCAGCGATACTGATGGAGAGAAAGCCCAAAGATCCCACAGATAACCCAGTTTACACCTTATGATAAAGCCAGGGACATGTTTTTTTTATTTTGGAGACAAAGTCTTATTGTGTCACCCCCACTAGAGTGCTGTGGCATCATAGCTCACAGCAAACTCAAACTCTTGGGCTTAAGTGATTCTCTTGCCTCAGCCTCCCAAGTAGCTGGGACTACAGGCGCAAGGACATTTTTAAATAAACACAGAAACCTTGCTTTATAAGGCCACCTTTGATGGGGGAGTGGGGGGTATCTGTTTGAAACTAGATTTTTGAACATTTTGGATTAACATAAGGGTACGTGCATTTAGGCGACATTGTTGGTGTTTTTAAGGTAAAGTCCCAGTTGTGGTTGAGTCCTTGACCTGCTATAGTCCTGCATTGTACCCAATCCATGGGAGCTCGCTGACCCCCTTTCTCCCTCTTCTCCCTCCTTGAATTTATTTTTTTCTCTCACGTGGTTGTTCATCTGCTAGTTGCAAATTAGTGAATCTTGATTTTTTTTAAAGGGGTTTTACGATGACAGTGTTTTGGAATGGTGATAGTGAAAGGGCTCAGCACTTAATATTTTGTTCTTTTTTAGGGTCTCTCTCACTGTGTATTTCATTAATTTAATAGTTATATTTCTAGCCATTTCATTGAAAGAGCCTGTTTGAAAATAGGTAGCATAATGAATGAATATTAACTCTTTCTGGTATATGGAACATGTGAGCTGAACTTATATTGAGACATTTTGAATTATTATTTTATTTGTTTTTTATTTTTGAGACAGTCTCACTATGTCACCCTCAGTAGAGTGCTGTGGTGTCATAGCTCACAGCAACCTCCAACTCTGGGGCTTAAGCAATTCTCTTGCCTCAGCCTCCCAAGTAGCTGGGACTACAAGCACCCACCACAACGCCCAGCTATTTTTTGGTTGTAGTTGTCATTGTTGTTTGGCAGGCCTGGGCTGGATTCGAACCCGTCAGCTCCAGTATATGTGGCTGGTGCCTTAGCCGCTGAGCCAGTTTCTTTTTTTTTTTCCTTCTATTTTAAGTAGAGACGGATCTCACTTTCACTCAGGCTGGTCTCGAATTTGTGAGCTCAGGCAATCCACTTGCCTGAGCCTCCCAGAGTGCTAGGATTATAGGCATGAGCACCATGCCTGACCTGGAGAAATATTTCATTAGGCCATATTTTTCACATGTTGGGTTATACATTTTAACCTCACTCCTGGAATGTATTTATCCAAAGAATTTCTCTCCAACACCTACTTACAGAGCACGTCTGTCAATTCCCTGATAAAATACTCAGCCTACTGCCACAGAGAGCTCAGTCCATTGCAATAGGCAATCACCAAGTAAGAAAAAATTGAGGTGGGTGCAGTGGCTCATGCCTGTAATCCCAGCACTCTGGGAGGCCAAGGCAGGTGGATTGCCTGAGCTCACAGATTTGAGACCAGGCTGAGCAAGAGCAAGACTTGGTCTCTAAAAATAGCTTTAAGACCAGCCTGCCCAAGAGCGAGACCCCATCTCTAAAAATAGCTGGGTGTTGTGGCAGGTGCCTGTAGTCCCAGGAGGCTGAGGCAAGAGGATTGTTTGAGCCCAAGAATTTCAGGTTGCTGTGAGCTATGACACCATGTCACTCTACCAAAGGTGACAAAGTGAGACTCTGTCTCAGAAAAAAAAAATTTTTTTTTTTTTGAGTAAGTGCTGGGATCCCTTGCAGGCTCAGGGTGGTCTGAGAACTCTATGAGGGGGCCCCTGACCCTTCCTGAGGTGCGAGGATAGAGTTTAGGGAAGGCTTTACAGAGGTGGGGCTCAGAGGAATGAGTTTCTGAGACAAAAAGAAGAAAAGCCTTCCAGGTAAAAGGAATAAATAACATACAAGTATGGAGAAGCAAAGAATGAAGAGATAGTATTCCTGTTGAGGGGCCAGAAGGCGAGGTTCCCAGGCAAGCACGGCTGTACTCTGAACACAGAAGTGGAATTAGATTAGGCTTTTATAAAGATCACTCTGTCAGCTTCTTGGAAGATGGAGTTCCAACTTGTGGGGAGGGATGTGAGTAAGAATGACAAGACCAGCAAAAAATGTATTCTATGGGAGTGCAGGTGAGAGATGACGTTGCTCTGAGGTTAGGCCGTGTGAGACAAAGGAGGCCAGATTGAGAGAAACTCAGGAAATGGACCAGCAGGCTGGCTGGCTGCCTGAGTAGATACGGGGAGGCGAGGAGGGAAGTGAGCCTCGGGTGACTCTCCGGTTTCTGGTTTACTTAACTAAGTAGATGACGGCAGCTTTTACCAAGATAGAGAGCACAGGAGTGGGAACGGATCTCGGGAGGGGCTTCAGGAAGGATGAAGAATTCAGTTATGGACTGATTTTCAAGGGTTATAGCTTATCCAGATGATAATGTTCAATAATTTAATAAATACTCACCAAATATCTAATATGTGCTGGTGACTATTTGGGTGGAAGGATTTGGGATAGAGAAAGAGATCTGGAGGCCACCAATGTATCACTGAAGTTGGAGACATGGGAAGAAATGACTCCTATATCTGGAGATGACCAAGGAAAGAACTCATCTTTAGGAAAGAGACATTTTGAATTATAATTTTATTTTATTTTATTATGATTTTTTTGAGATAGAGTCTCACTATGTCACCCTAAGTAGAGTGCCACAGCAGCACAGTTCACAGCAATCTTCAACTCCTGAGCTTAAGTGCCTCCTCCGCCTCCCAAGTGCCCGGGACTACAGGCATCCACCACAATGCCTGACTACATTTTTTGTGCAGTTGTCATTGTTGTTTTAGCTGGCTTGGTCTGGGTTTGAACCTGCCAGCTTCTGTATATGTGGCCAGCGCCCTACTCACTGAGCTACGGCTGCTGCCTATAATTTTATTTTTATTTATGTACATATGCATTTATGTTTTGAGATAAAGTCTCTCTCCATTGCCTTGAGTAGAATGCTGTCGTGTCAGACTTCACAGCAACCTCAAACTCTTGGGCTCAAGCAATCCTCTTGCCTCAGCCTCCAGAGTAGCTGGGACTATGGAGTATTCTACCACTTTGGGCTGGAAATGCTAGGAAAAGAATGTATGATTTTCTTCTGCACCCAGGCCTGGCCTTAGTATTGACTCTCTAATGGTAAATGATAATCACCAGAGGATACTCTAAATTATGATAAACAAGAAAGGAAACAGTTTGAATTACCTATGTGTAAGCTTTCTTATTTCTCAGAGATAACCCCCAACTGTGTAAAACTTGTCAGATAGATTCAGCTCTTGAACCCCTAAGCTCAAGCAGTCCACCAGCTCTGACCTCCCAAAGTGCTAGGATTATAGGCATGAGTCACTGTGCCCAGCTTTATAATTTTATTTAGCATCAAACTGTTTGTGATTTTAATCAAGTTGGTTTTACTTGCTTTAAAACAGGCCCCAGGCATGGAAGAGCTGATATGGGAACAGTATACTGTGACCCTCCAAAAGGTAAGTTCTGACTTCTCATATTACAGTCATGTTCTTAGTTTTACGGATCATGGATCTTATTTATTTTTGCCCACACACAGGTTTTGGGTTTTTCTCCCTTGAGGTGGATGGTGCATTGTAGGTACCACCTGGCAATAATGACCTTGTTAACAAAGATTTGCGTGCTATTGTATTTTTTTGGTAAGCCTGTATAATATAGAACATTTTAGATCTTATTTCGTGTGTTCGCCTATCCCCAGACAGAATAGGTTATGATAGAAGAGAAAGAGAAGAGTGAAAGTAACCTGACCTGTTGAAGGATGTTGAGGTAGCTTCTACAACTTCTGTAATTTTAATTATACGTACATATCTCGTAACTCCTTCCGTGAGTTTGAAGTTCAGACTAAATTTGAAAAGATTGACTTGGGAATGGATTGTATTCTCTGTCCTACTCCTGATTAAATTAACAGGGGTTGAGTTAATTGAGCTATAATTTTTAGCTCCTTCTATCCCCGCTCCCCAAAGCAAATAAAAGTAGAATACCACTTGTCAATATATTTCAGTTCTTTTAGTCATTCCACAGGTCTTATCCTTCTTGATTAAATGAGGTAATACATACACAGCTTCCAATCTATGGAGTCTGGCACGTAATTGATGCTTAATAAATACATATTAGCTCTTTTCCTCTTTATTCTTTTTCTTTTTTTAGACAGAGTCTCATTATGTCACCCTCGGTAGAGTGCTGTGGCGTCACAGCTCATAGCAACCTCAAACTCTTGGGTTAAAGCAATCTTTTTGCCTCAGCCTCCCAAGTAGCTGGGACTACAGGCACCAGCCACAATGTCGAGCTATTTTTTGTTACAGTTGTCATTATTTAGCTGGGCTGGGCTGGGCTCGAACCTGCCAGCCTCCTGCCGGCCTCAGTGCATGTGGCTGGCACCCCACCCACTGAGCTACAGGCACTGCCCTTTCCTCTTTATTCTGACAACTAAGTTCAAGGTAGTCACAACAGGAGTTAGCCCCACTCTAAACAAGAGTCTGGGCAGGGAGTCTGTAAGTCATTTTTGAGGCTGACCTGGATTAGAACTGCACTCATGGTCCTGAGTTCTTTTTCCATCAAGCTGCCCTCATGGCAACATGGCAGGGATCTTCCTCCTCCTGCTCTGAATCCCTCTATTTCTGTCACTTCCTAGAGGGGGAAGTTCCTCGAAGAGAGAATTTGCCTTTGAGCCTCAGAATCCTGAGCTTCAAGCCTTGTCTTCAAAGAAAATTTGGCTCCTGAATTAAATGTTTGTTGAATTAATTCAGATTAAAAAAAAAAAAGGTCCCTGGGTCAGTGCCCAGGTGCTCAGATGTTTGGATCAGTAATCGTGGATTGTTTTCAGTTGATGGGTTTTGCCTGTTTGGTTCTTCATTTATAGTTCTTTATCATCTTTCTGACTCTTCCTGATGCCCTTTCCCCCAGTATTTCATATTCTCCACGAGGTAAGGACACCCAGATTGGCAGAGATGAGAAACTTTTTAGGCTTGGTATAGAGCAGCGGTTCTCAACCTATGGGTTGCGACCCCTTTATAACAATGAAAATACATCCTGCATATTAGATATTTACATTACGATTCATAATAGCAGCAAAATTACAGTTATGAAGTAGCAACAAATATAATTTTATGGTTGGGGGTCACCACAACGTGAGGAGCTGTATTAAAGGGTCGCGGCATTAGGAGGCATTAGGAAGGTTGAGAACCACTGGTGTAGAGGATGGAGCTGCCACTTTCTGTTGCCAAGTTCAAAGCCATGTGATTAATAGCCAACAACCTAATCTCCCAATGAGTTTGTCATTGTTTATAATCAGTCAGCCTAGTGGGCCCCACGTGGGACCTTTTCCTTTGGGGAAAAGTTTTTCTTTTATTCTCTGAGTAGATTTTTACATAATCAAACCCTGATTTAGGATTATATAGTCACAGATACCCGTATCATCTAGATGAAACTAGGCTTAGCTTTTTTAAACACTGAAATGAATTAGGATTATGTATTATCTGGGTTCACTGTTATGCATTGCTAGACCAATCACGGATGTAAGAAATCTGTATTTCCAATCTTCTGTGCATGTAGAAAAGGTTTAATGCTTTGCTGTCTCATAAGATCTCAACACTCATTTTGTGTTCAGATTATAGTCTGGAAGTTCATTTACTTCTTTTTTGGCCCTATATTAAAATGAAACCATTAGCTCATCTAACTGGAAGTTAAAGGTATACTTTAAATTTTAACACATAGTCAGTTTTTCCTGAAGTCTTTGCAGCTCAGGCCAGCGTGATACAAAGAGTTGGTGCTTTAAACAGCATGTCCCTCTCTGGACAGAGGACATTATTTCTCATCCCTGACAGCTTCTCGTGATGACTCCAGTCCGTACTCGCAATCTTTTTTCGCTTTCACTGGCTGTTTGTTTTAGATAAGGAATTTCCCTTTATAAACCTGTCAGTTGACTGCGTCTACCCTTTCTTTTGTTTCTCGTTTGGTTCTGTAAGCCCATCTGTTCCCGAACGGTGTCTGGTTATTGATTTGACCTTTATTTTATTGAGCGCTTGTAATAAATCCTGAAAGCTACTTATGGAAGGATTTTTAATTTTTCTCTTCTAATTCCCATGAGCAGGATTCCAAAAGAGGATTTGGAATTGCAGTGTCTGGAGGCAGAGATAACCCCCACTTTGAAAATGGAGAAACGTCGATTGTCATCTCTGATGTGCTCCCCGGCGGGCCTGCCGATGGGCTGCTTCAGTGAGTGTCCCTCCCTCGCCCCTCCGGGCCTGCCATCTCCACTGCTTGACCCCAGACAGGTGTTGTTGTGGGTGTGCACTTTTTAAAGTTTAAACAAAACCCTTTTATATAGCATTCAAAAAGTCTTCCAGTAGGAAATGAGGCCATAACACACCGTATCTGAACAATCCCCAAACTTTGGGAGCATCTCAACTTTGGAGGGACAAGAGGAGAGCAGTTGTTTTCACAGGAAGATAGTTACAAACGTCACTCCTCGGTTTAGGAATCATTTCTGAACGTGGAGTTAAATTGGCATGTCCAGTGCCTACCTAACACTGTTTATATTTGTTTTTATTTATATTCCTTAAGAATTTAATGAGGAAACATTGGCTTAATGCTCATCTTTTTTTTTTTTTTTTTAGACAGTTTCACTTGGTTACCCTCGGTTGTGCTGTGGTGTCTTAGCTCACAGCAACCTCAAACTCTTGGGTTTAAGCGATCTTCTTGCCTCAGCCTCCCAAGTAGCTGGGGGATTATAGGCGCCCACCACAACACCTGGCTATTTTTTAGAGACAGGGGCTTGCTTTTGCTCAGGCTGGTCTCGAACTTGTGACAATCCACTCACTTCAGCCTCCTAAGTGCTGGGATTACAGGCGTGAGCCATAGCACCTGGCCTTGCTCATCTTATTTGTAAGAAGGAAGTGGAAATTAGGAAAATTTACTATAAGAAAACACAAGTTTCCAATTGCCAGCATTCTTGCTTGAAGAAATAATGCCATTTTATTTTATTTATTTACTTTTGAGACAGAGTCTCACTTTGTTGCCTTCAATACAGTGCCATGGTGTCATTGCTCACAGCAACCTCAAACTCTTGGGCTCAAGTAATTCTGTTGTCCCAGCCTCCTGAGCTGGGACTACAGGTGCCTGCCACAACGCCCAGCTAGTTTTAAAGATGGGGTCTTGCTCTTGATCAGGCTGGTCTTGAACTCCTGAGCTCAAGCTGTCTACCCTCCTTGGCCTCCCAGCGTTCTGGGATTACAGGTGTGAGCCACCATGCCCACCCTGATAATGCCATTTTAAAAGGTGCATGCCACATTCCCACGCAATAACTCATGAAGACAGAATCAAAAGTTATTTGTGTGGCTGCATTGGCCAGATAGCTCAAAAGTTTGGGTTCTGTTGCCATTTTAGGCCTCTACAGTACTATCAAAGTAAGTATTCTTTCATTTGGAGCAATGTAAAATGTAAAAGTAATTTTGGAGATAAGCCAAAGTGATAGGATTCTATAACCTCAAAATTTCTTTAAGAATCTGAGTTAAGCTCATGACCTCTTTCCCTCCAAAAAAGCACAAGTAGCAAACTGGCTTTGGGGGACTGTTTGTGGACTTTTTGAAGTCCTCTATACATACAGGGCAACAGGGGACTGATCACAGAAATTCCTTTTGGTGTCTAGACCTTGTCACCATCGAGTGCTTCCTGGAGTGACCACGTGGCGTGGGGAGAGCAGGCCTCTCTTTCCATAGGTGGATACTCTTTATTAGACACTCTCAAATTGGAGCTGGGAGGTCCCAGTATCTGTCCTCAGAGGAGCTCAGATCAAGCTGACGGAGCCTCAGGAGCCCTCAGACACTGAGCCCATTAGTCAGCATTTCAGATTGATTTGCTGTTTCCATTCGTTCCTAAATATATTGATCGGAGTGTTTCACAACCTGTTTGTGTTTCTGGTTTACAGAGAAAATGACAGAGTGGTCATGGTGAATGGCACCTCTATGGAGGATGTGCTGCATTCGTTTGCAGTTCAGCAGCTGAGAAAAAGCGGGAAGGTCGCTGCTATTGTAAGTTTGCTTTGAGCTTGCCTCCGTGGCGTTTTGTCTTTATGCCCAGAAGAAAATTACTGCTTGCTTTTAAGAATTTGATGAAATTATATAACCAAAGAACTGCTGCTGCTATGGATCCTCAGAGCTTTTGGAGGTTGGGAAGATGAGTGTTTGTAATCCTCCCTGCCTTTCCTCAAGTCCTCCTGAGGCCCATGATTCTCTAATGTGAGTGAATTTGCCTTAGAAACCAGCGTAGGCAATTATTCCCCAAGAGAACTCGCTCGATTCAGAACATTGGTAAAACAGTGTTAATTTGGAAAAAAAAATTTCAGCTTAAAAACTCATTTGTAAAGGCACAAACAAGATGGGTTTTGTCTTCATAGACTAAGAGTTTCTTAGAGGACAGTGGCAGTCTAAAGCATTCATTTATTTATTCACTCACTCATTCATTCGGCAAACACTGGCCGAGAATCACCTATAAGCCAGATGCCACTAGTCCCTGGGGCCAGCCTGTCCCTCAAGAAGTATTCACTCCAGCTGGGCAGGTGGACACATATAGCAAGAATTATAATAAGATATGTTAAAAGACAATGCTCAGGTAGGTGTACCATTCCAGATAAGTTGAAAGATCAGTGTAATAAACATTTATATAGTATTCTGCCATCTTTACTTGATCCCTATGTATTTTATAAACACATACATATTTTTGGTAAAGCATTTGAAGGAAAGTCAGACATGACGGTTCAATCCTACTTTCTTCAGTGTGCATCTCCTAAGAATAAGGACATTCATCTACATAAGAAAATAATAACTCCACAGTTTCAGCTAATGCCCAGTCCACACCTAAAGATGTCATTGATAGACCTTTTTTCTTCTCCATCCAGGATCCAAAATTCACTTGTATTTGATTGTTGTCTCTTTAGTTTGTGTAATCAAGTCCTTCTTTCCCCTCCCCGTCCTGTGCTTCCCCACTTTTTTAATGGCATTGATTTATTTTTTTTACAACTTTTTAATTGATGCCTAATAGACATACATAGTTTTGGGTTGCGTGGTAATATGATACATTCATATAATTTGTAAAGATCAAATCAGCATACATCAGGAGGTCTGTAGCTCAGTAATTAGGGTACTGGCCACATGCTTTGAGGCTGGTGGGTTTAAACCTGGCCTGGGCCTGCTAAACAAACAACAGAAAAAAAATGTAGGGTGCTGGCCATATATACCAAACGTAGTGGGTTTGAGCCTGGCCCAGGCCTGCTAAATACCAATGACAACTGCCACCAAAAAATAGCTGGGCGTTGTGGGCGCCTGTAGTCCCAGCTACTCAGGAGCCTGAGGCAAGAGAATCACTTAAGCCCGGAGTTTGAGGTTATTGTGAGCTATGACGCTACGGCACTCTACTGAGGGTAACAACATGAGACTGTCTCAATTAAAAAAAAAAAAATCAGCATGCTTCAGATATTCATTACCTTAAGTATTTGTCTTTTTTAATTCTAGAAACATTCAAATTATTCTCTTCTAGCTACTTTAGAACACACAATAGATTGTGTAAATTATAGTCACCCAATGGATCTTTCTAACACTAGGTTGTATTTCTCGTATCCAATTGTACATTCCCATGCATTAATCAACTTCTTTTCATCCCCTCTAGGCAGTTATATATAGAATGTCACACTTTCTGGGGTTTCTTTTTTCTTTTAGACAGAGTCTCAAGCTGTCACCCTATGCTATGGGGTCATAGCTCATAGCAACCTCAAAGTCTTGGGCTTAAGTGATCCTCTTCCCTCAGCCTCCCAAGTAGCTGGGACTATAGATGCCTGCCACAATGCCCAGCTATTTTTTGTTTGTTTGTTTGTTTGCTTGTTTAGCAGGCCCGGGCCAGATTCAACCCCACCAGCCCTGGTGCATGTGGCTGACACCCTAACTGTTGAGCTACAGGCGTCCAGCCTTTCTCTGTTTTCTTGACTAGGGACCGGAACCTTACTGAGTTGCCAGGGACACAGTTTTGTTGAATCCAGAACCAGGGCTCTTGTCACTGCATTCCCTACACTCAGTCGTGATTGTCCTGTGTTCTCATTGTGCTTGTTTGATGACAGGTGGTCAAGAGGCCCCGGAAGGTGCAGGTGGCCCCGCTGCAGACCAGCCCTCCGCTCACTCACAGTGACCGGGCTTTTGAGGTGATGGACGACTTTGATGGCAGAAGTTTCCGCAGCGGGTACAGCGAGAGGAGCCGGCAAAGCAGCCACGGAGGGCGAAGCCGCAGCTGGGAGGACAGCCCGGAGCGGGGGCGTCCCCACCAGCGGGCACGGAGCCGGGAGCGCAGCCTCAGCCGTGACCGGAGCCGTGGCCGCAGCCTGGAGCGGGGCCTGGACCGGGACTACGAGCATGCCCAAGACTACGAGCGTGCCCGAGATCGCAACCGTGGCCACAGCCTGGAGCGAGGTCTGGACCATGACTTTGGGCCACCCCGGCACCGGGACCGCAGCCGTGGCCGAAGTGTCGACCGCGACTATCGCCAGGACTACGATCCAGACTATGATCTGGGGTACAGCCCGGGCTACAGCCGCAGAGCCCAGCACGAAGCCCGGTACCAGGTGGCCCACAGCCGCGAGCACCTGCGCTCCCGCAGCCCCAGCCCTGAGCCGAAGGGACAGCCGAGGCATGCGGGTCAGCAGGACCCGGACAGGCCCATCGGGGTCCTTCTGACGAAAATCAAAGCAAATGAAGGTAGGCATGCTTGGTGCAGGGAAAAAAGTACTGTAATGATATAGCACTTAACATGTGCCCAGCGTTGACCTGAATGTCTGACACCTACTAGTTTATTTAATCCTCAAAACACATCCTGAGAGATTTATTCTTGCATTGTCATTTTATAGACAAGGAAACTAAGGTGCAGAAAGCTTCATTGACTTGTACAAAGTTGTGCCATTATGGCAGAGCCAGGCTCCTGAACTGTTTGGCTTTGAACCTCCAAGTCAGCTTTATAACATTTGTAATGACTCTTAAGAATTAAAGAGTAAGAACTGTCCTGTGTTCAGATTGAAAGGTGGACTTTGGAGAAGTTTTGAGAAAGAATGTGGAGAAGGGGGTCTCAGGCCACATTCTCTTGGGCACTCACCCTGGATTGTTGACTTAGCTAAGTGCTGCTTATCAAATGTCTTCCCCTCCTCCCCCTCCTTCCTGTCATGGAAAGAACTACATCTGTAGGTGCATCCAGTCATATAACAAAACTTTAAACACAGATCTTATGGAACGGTGCTTACTCTGTCTGCTGCATGATATAGTCTGAAAGGTTCCATTATGTTTAAAACCTGCTTGTGGGCCAGGTATGGTGGCTCAACCTATAATCCTAGCACTGTGGAGGCCGAGGCAGGAGGATTGCTTGAGCTCAGGGTTCAAGGTCAGCCTGACTAAGAGCAAGACCTCCTCTCTATTAAAAATAGAAAAATTAGCCAGGCACGTGGCAGGCACCTATAGTCTCGCCACACTGTACTTGGAAGGCAGAGACAACAGGATCACTTGAGCTCAAGAGTTTGAGGTTGTTGTGAGTTATAATAGCTCCACAGCACTCTATCCAGAGTGACAGAGTCTCACTCAAAAAACCTCACTCAAAAAACCCCCAAAAAAAAAAAAAAAAAAAAATCAAAACCTGCTAGTAGCAACTTAAACTAATTTGATTTTTTTTTTCAATACAGGGTCTTAGCTCTGTCTCCCAGGCTAGTGTGCAGGGATGCAGTCATAGCTCAGTGCATCCTCCAACTCCCACACTCAAATCCTCTTGCTTCAGCCTTTTAAGCATCTAGAACCATGAGCCCTCACCACTTTGCCCGGTTAACTTTTAAATTTTATATAGAGAAGGGGTCTCACTGTGTTGCTGAGGCTGGTCTTGAACTCGTGGCCTCAAGCAATCTTCCTACCTCAGCCTTCCAAGGTGCTGGGATTACAGAGGTGAGCCACTATACCTGGCCACTAAATGGATTTTAAAACCCACTAATGGATTGGAACCCACAGTTTAAGAAGATATTCTCTGTCTAAAAAGACTAAGTCATGGCTGATCTTAGTAAATCAAGGGGGAAAGGGGCTTATGCTCCTCTGCTATATAGCATTTTACTCTTTCTTGGCCATTTTCTTCCCTAAACATGGAAATCATTAAACCAAAAAAGTTCCACTTTTTCAAAAGAAAAGTTTTTGCCACCTTTTGCTAAGATTATACAATAACTTAGCTATCACTGGATAGGGTTGCCTAAGAATTAATATTTAAAGAAATCTGACAGTAGGCAAGGCATATATTTGATCCATTCTGAGGGCTAGCCATTACATTTCATGGGCACCACGTTGCTTTCCTTATAAGTGTATTAGAAGCTGGTCAGCTGATTTTTTTCTCTTTATTTAAGAAATGCCTATGTGCATACTAATAGGTTTATCTGCAAACTTACATGTATAATAAGAGTGTGGGTGAGAGAAATTGTTGATAATACCAGAAAAAAGTTATCGTCCAAGCCTGTCTGGGCTGTGAGGTGTTCTGACCATTAGAAGGTTGTCATCCCTGAAGATAGGGGCACCCTTTCCCTTACCCCTTTCATCACTGTCAGCTTCCTAAATTAGGGGTGGGGGATGGGCACCCCTCAACACTTTTAATCATTGTGGTAAGATCTCCCGCTGACAGGTGTACTTATTGTAAAATCTGCTTCATAACCTTTCTCAAATTGTAGAAAGGTTCTTTGTCATTAAAAAATTTTAAGTCAGAACAATAATAAAAACATTCGTGCCTATTTTAAAACCAGCTAGATTGGAGGGCCCCTGTGGTTCAAGGAGTAGGGCACTGGCCTCATATGCCAGAGGTGGTGGGTTCAAACCCAGCCCCGGCCAAAAACTGCAAAAAAAAAAAAACTGCTAGATTTTGGTAGCTTCCTAAAATTGCCAAAATTAATCCTTAAAATATAGAATTTTACAGGCTTTATGAGTAAAATCAGCATAGCCAGAATAGCATGGAAAGTCTTTTAAAATATGCATACTTATCGATGCCCGTGCACAGTGGTTACGGCCCTGGCCACATACACTGATGCTGGCAGGTTCTAACCCAGCCCAGGCCAGCTAAACAACAATGACAACTGCAACAAAAAAAATAGCCAAGTGTTGTGGCAGGCACCTATAGTCTCAGCTGCTTGGGAGGCTGAGGCAAGAGAATCATTTAAGCCCAAGAGTTTGAGGTTGCTGTGAGCTGTGATGCCACTCTACTCTACTGAGGGTGACATAGTGAGACTCTGTCTCAAAAAACAAAATAAACAAAATATGTGTACTTAGTAAATAGAGGAAGTTTTTCTTTTGATAGCAATTGGAAGTCCACAGACCCCCTACCTAAAGCCATGCTGGCTTTAGTTAAATGCTTCGCCCATTGGTGTGCCTGGCTTCTTTCCCCTTTTCCATGCATTCTGAATTTCTTTTAGTGCCAGCCCCCACACAGTTGTGATAGATTCCTGTGGGCAACCTTCTTGTCAATAGAAAATGCCTGATAAGACGTGCTGAATTGTTTTCTCCTCCCCAACATTTTATTTGAAAAGTGTAAATTTCATAGCAAACACCCTTTAGCCTTCACCTAGTTTTGCCAGTTGTTAACATTGTCAGATTTGCTTTCTATTTTCTCTTTCTCCCTTTGTTATTTTCCTCTCTGTCCTCTCCCCGACCCCCTCTTCTCTCTCTTAGAGAGTTTTTTGGAACCACTTGAGAGTAAGTTGCAGGCAACTGAGCCATTACCTGTAACTATTTCAGCGGTTATCTCCTGAGGATAAGGACGTTTTCCTATGTTACCATAATGTCAGTACCACCTTAACAAAATTAACGTTAATATTCCTTTGATACAGTATAGTACATTTTCAGAGTGCTCCCAAGTAATGAAACCCACTCGACTTCCTCCATTTCTATTCTCTTATTGAATAAAGGATCTAACGAAAGTTCATGCATTGTGTTTGGTTGGTGTCTCCCTCTAAAACAGTCTCTCTGGCTCGCTCTCTCTCTTTTTTTAATGACTGGACTTTTTTTGAAAAGTCCAGGCTAGTTATCTTACAGAATATCCCAGTTGCAAAATTAATGTTTTATGAATATTTTTAAATAGTTCTGAAAACCAGGCTATGTTTTCTGAACCAATTGATGACAAATGTGTATGTTTATATGTTTGTCTCATAGAGTATGGCCTCCGGCTTGGGAGTCAGATCTTCATAAAAGAAATGACCAGAACAGGCCTGGCAACTAAAGATGGCAACCTTCATGAAGGGGACATAATACTCAAGGTGGGCACAATGGGGCAGAGGGTCTGTCGAGTACATGCTTGTGTTCCCAGCCTGCGTTTCCATGTTCAAGTGTTACTGTGGTGAAACTTAGTTGCGATGGGGTCAGTTGTAATGCAGAGGCCACACAAGAGTATAGTGAGGTGTTTTCTTTTTTTTTTGGAGACAGAATCTCACTGTGTCACTCAAACCCTCCACCTTCGGTGTATGTGGCCGGCGCCCTACTCACTGAGCTATGGGTGCCAAGCCTATTTAAAGTTTAGGTTCCTATTTCCTAAACTAAGGAAAGGTGAGAAGGAGAGCTGGTGGTATAGGAATGCTGATTTTTTTTTTTTTGGAGACAGGAGCCTCAAGCTGTCCCCCTGGGTAGAGTGCTGTGGCAGCTCAGCTCACAGCAACCTCCAACTCTTGGGCTCAAGCGAGTCTCCTGCCTCAGCCTCCCAAGTAGCTGGGACCACAGGCGCCCGCCACAATGCCCGGATATTTTTTGGTTGCAGCTGTCATCGTTGTTTGGCAGGCCCGGGCTGGATTTGAAACCGCCACCTTAGGTGTATGTGGCTGGCACCTTAGCCACTTGAGCCACAGGGGCCAAGCTGGAATGCTGAATATTTAATAGTTCTTATAAATCTCTCCCGTCAGGAAACATGTTCTAGTAGTAAACCAAACCGTCGTCTTGAACTTGGAAGTGAAATAAATTAGCAGAGTAGTAACTTACACATGTATTTGGGATGCAGGTGTCAGGCTTATATTTAACTTAAAAGAGAATTCATTTTTATTCAGTCATCCTCAAGCCCATGTCTGTTTGACTATCTGAGCAAGGCTTTTATCTTTTTAGACAGGGAAAATACGAATTCTGTACTTCCCGTGAACAGTTGTATTGCATATAATATTACCATTCTCCATACATGCAGATCAATGGAACTGTCACTGAGAATATGTCTTTAATGGATGCCCGGAAATTGATAGAAAAGTCAAGAGGAAAACTACAGCTAGTGGTGTTACGAGACAGCAGGCAGACCCTCATCAATATCCCATCCTTGAACGACAGTGACTCGGAAATCGAAGGTAAAGGAAGAGGCTTGAATTTAGCTGAGGGTAAAGAAGGTTGTTGCTTCTGCTTCTTTTTCTTTTTTCTTTTTGAGTTAGAGTCTTGCTGTGTGGCCCTGAGTAAAGTGCAATGGCATCATAGTTCACAGCAACCTCAAACTCCAGGGTGCAGGTGATTCTCTTGCTTCAGCCTCCTGAGTAGCTGGGACTACAGGTGCCCGCTATGATGCCTAGCTAGTTTTTCTATTTTTAGTAGAGACCGGGTCTCACTCTTGCTCAAGCTGGTCTAGAACTCCTGTGCTCACATAAGCCACCTTCTTCAGCCTTCCAGAGTGCTAGGATTGCAGGCAGGAGCCTCTGTGCCAGCCTGCTTCTGCACTCACATCTCTTTTTAGCATAGCCGTGCAGCTAGAAGTTAAATTTCTAATGAAAGCCTCCCTTTTCAACTTTAATCCCCAAAGATCAGCGTTTGGTGTTATTTGCTTATTAAAGTGTGTGTTGAAATTAGTTTTCCAGTATGAAATTTTGGTGCACTGTGGACTCCCAGAGGACTCTTTAATTAGGCCACTGAAAGCAGGAATTGCTAATAAAAAATCAACTAACCATATCATTTGTACGTTTGCTAATTGCTCTTTCTTGCACTAGTGTGTTTTTTTTTAAAGTCTGTTAGTAAACTTGGACAACAGCTAAAACAGACACTATAATAGAATCAAAATGGCTAAGGTTGTGGTATTCATTAGTTAGCAATCTGTGCCATCCCTCTTTAAAGACCTCTACTCATTATTTGAATATGCATTACATGTAGGACAACATTATAACTTTGTAAAAACTGCCAGTAAAAATAAGTAGTCATAGCATATCCTATGTAACCATCTGCTATTGCTTTCATGCAGGAAAGTTTAGAAAATACTAAGTTCCCAAGTTGTAAAATAGGCTTTTGTTGATTTTTTTTTTTTAAAGAAGAGTTTTGCAAAACCTTTAAAATTTACTTTAGTTTTCAGCGTATCAAAAGTCATTGTTCATTGCCCTGGGTGCAATGTAAGAAAACAAAAGCATAAAAAATAATCTGGGTATGCTAGGAGTTTACAGTTTATTTCCATTCTACTCAAAGTGTGGTCCTCAGCCCCCAGCAGCATCAGAGTCATCTGGGAGCATGATAGAATTGCAGAATGTTAGGCCCCACCCCCAAATAACTGCATCTTAACGAAATCTCCCGGTGATTTGTATGAACCTTTGTGTTTAAGAAGCATGAATCTGTTGGGTATGAATGAATGTCTGCACCTATGATCCAGTAATTGAATTTCAACTCTTCAATAGCAGCTTTGAAGGAATGTTGGATGAAAGAGAAATACACAATTCTAAATTTGGCTTCCTCTTTATTAATTAATGCCTTTCCCTTAAAACGATCAAGTGTTTTTCCAAGGGAAGACTATTAGACTAATAGCACATTGACCTTCTGTCCTTCTTCCATTTTCTATGTTTCCTACCCAGGAAATAGTATAATTTCTGGTACATGTGTTAAATATTTGATTGAAAAGTTGTTTCTTATTTTTGAAACCAGATATCTCAGAAATAGAGTCAAACCGATCGTTTTCTCCAGAGGAGAGGCGCCAACAGTATTCTGATTATGATTATCATTCCTCAAATGAGAAGCTGAAAGAAAGGCCAAGGTGAGAGGACGTGTGTTTTCCCTGCCCGTGTCACTGTGAAGATGTGTTCGTATGTGTTTGTGAATCTGTACCTTATGAGACATTCACATGACCTGTGCTGCTTAAGTTCAAGAGAGGACGCGCCGAGCAGACTGTCCAAGATGGGCGCCACACCCACTCCCTTTAAGTCCACGGGGGATATTGCCGCTGCGGTTGTCACGGAGACCAACAAGGAGCCCAGGTACCAAGAGGAACCCCCAGGTGAGGCTTTACGGCCACTCATTTTCAACAGTTGTGTTCAGAAATGTGTGTGCGTACTTCTTAGTTCTAGAGAGTGGCTGGAAGGAAACAGAAATGAAAAGTGATCCTTATGTATGGAAGAGGCCCTCCTTGCTCTTGCTGTCTGTCAGCATTGAAAAGATATAAAATAACAGCCTTTTCTATATGCCATCAGGATTGGTCATGTTTGGTCATATTTGATGAATTGCCATATTTTTTGTCTCTCAGTCTTAATCCCAACCTCATCCCCCAGCCCTTCCCCCACTACTGTACAATTATCATAATTTTATGTACCTAAGTATTTATAGGAAAATGGTACTATTATTATGTTTTGTTTTGTTTTTTTGAGACAGAGTCTCACCATGTTGCCCTTGGTAGTGTGGTGGCATCACAGCTCAAAGCAACCTCAAACTCTTGGGCTTAAGTGATTCTTTTGCCTCAGCCTCCCAAGTAGCTGGGACCACAGGTGCTGGCCACAACGCCCAGCTATTTTTTGTTGCAGTTGTCATTGTTGTTCAGCTGGCCCGGGGCCGGGTTCGAACCTGCCAGCCTGGGTGCATGTGGCTGCTGCTATGGGCGCTGAGCCCCATTATTATGTTTTTCAAGTTGTAAAAAAAATGCTGTCTTTTTATACATTTGATTGTGCAGTTTGCACTGCCCTATAATTATTATAATTTTATGTGCATAAATAATTATAGGGAAATGGTACCATTATTATGTCATTTTACGTTGTATAAAAATGCTGTCTTCTTATACACTTGCTTGTGTAGCTTGCATTTTTAGGGGGTCATTTCTCACTTATTTTGAGAAACCATTGGCACCTGCCAATGCCTCAAAGTTCATCTTTACCCTAGGTCCTTTTTTTTGTTTGTGTTGAGGTACAGGTATCCTAAGATATTACATTTTTTGTGGATTTTATGATCTTTATATTTAGAAACAAACTCTTGCGAGGCCAGTTTGAAAACAGTAGGTATGTTTTAATCTGCAGCTCCTCAACCAAAAGCACCCCCGAGAACTTTTCTTCGTCCTAGTCCTGAAGATGAAGCAATATATGGGTAAGTATTTTTTTTCTCTCTCTCCCCCCCCCCGCCCCCTTTCTTCTTGCACACAACTCTGTTTCCTTAACTGAAATCCAGACCAATGCTGGTTTTCTTTTTTTAACCTACAGATGGTGATTTGCATGTTATCAGCCATCTTTAACCAACCCCTGTTGCTAGTGTTTATGGGAATCATTCTTAGGAAAAGCAAAAGGTGGAAGTGGATGAACTTTGTGATGTTAATGTTTTCTACTTATCTGCCCCTCTAGCTCCTCTTCCAGAAAGTTATTCTGAATATTTGCATTTGCCAGATAAACAACGCCCACTTAGGTGAAGTACTGCTAGACTGGTGCCCAGGCGTGACTGCAGGGACCTGATGGTCCCAGCCTGTGGCAGAAGGGAGAGGGCGTGATACTGCACCCTGCAGTTGATAGGGGGAACCCCTGGTTCAGTAGTGTTTAAAGAGCCACAGCCTTCTGGGATGGGATCCTGCTTCCTGGGACCCAGGCTGTGTCCTTATTTGACAGGAGCTGTGTGGTGCCAGCGGGCTTTCCTCTGAAAGAATCCTAAACTAGGAGTCCGGTGGCCGCCATGTTAGCCCTAATCTAGGTCTTTATTTGGATTCTCATCTTGAATGAGCTGACATGAACATTCTGTAATTCTGCTTCTGCACCAGTAACGGGAAATGAGTATCATTATCTACTCAAGGAAGATAAAATTATGGAATGTGAGAGCTGTATGAACTATAAATCACTCTTATAGATAGAATAAGTTGTATCTTTTATCTGCTAATGTTGGTCCCTTTTTAAAAAGTATCTTCTATCTTTGCTTTCTGGATCTGAACCTATTGCAGGCCCAATACCAAAATGGTGAGATTCAAGAAGGGAGACAGCGTGGGCCTCCGCTTGGCTGGTGGCAATGACGTCGGGATATTTGTTGCTGGCATTCAAGAGGGTACCTCGGCAGAGCAGGAAGGCCTTCAAGAAGGAGACCAGATTCTGAAGGTAAGAAGAACCCAGCTTTGTTTCCAGAAGTGTTCGGAGAGAATGGGCTTTTCCAGGTGTTCTTTCATGAGGGAGGAGGAAGTGGTCCAGTGTGTGCCCATAGACCCGCTCTAGGTGTGTTCATGCTCAGCATGGAGGTCTCTGTATTCCTCCAATGGGCCCTCCGGTCTTCTCAGTCCTGGGACCCAAAACTCATTCCTGTGTCTATGGGAATTTATAGTTTTAAATCATTAGTTTGAGTAACATCGAAAAGATTGAGACTCCAAATAAGGGACTATAGGAAAGGTCTTTCAACAAGATCTTCCTAATTTTTGGTTTTTCACTGTGTTCCCTTTGCCTGGTGTTTCTCTCAGGGCAGTGTCCTATAACTGAAGGAAGGTGGGTGTTGGCTTCAGACTGAGTGATCTGAATCCTGTCCCCGTCTTGCATTAGTTCTCTGACCCTGACTCACCCTGAGACTCGAGTTTCTTTCTCTGCTCAATGGGATGAGAATACCTGCCTCTCAGGGACCCTGGGAAGATCAGAGGAGATAGTGTAAGGCACCCAGCTGAGTTCCCTGGCCCAGCGCAGGAAGGTCAATGTCTGTTCTTTTTTCTTGTTGGAAGTTAACAAATAGCTGCCACTCCATATTATTTACATCTAAAATTATACAGAAAAGGGAATTCTGATTAATCAAATATTGGTACTTTTAAAGTTACCATATGCTCATAAAATCTACTGGTATTAAAGAATTAAGAACGGATAGCTCAACTTTGATATTTTATGATATGTATGTATATAATTTATCCTTTGACTATAGAACAAACTTCAGGAACATCAAGTACCTTGTTACTATAAAAATATAGACTGCTAGAGAACTGTCTTTATTGGAATTTCTTTCTGCTTTTGTTCTTATTTTAGAAATTCTATATGGTATTTTTCTTGTTAACTTTAGTGAAACATCCCCATGTAATAAACTAAAGGATTTGGTAATAGTTTCTAGACTCGAAAGAGAGGGGAAGAAAGATTTGCCCAATTTCCGAGGAGGCAGGGAGCAAAGTACAGAAACAGCTGATCCTCTTGCTTCTTTGGCACTCGGCCTCACTGCAGTAGTTCAGATTTCATTGCTGGAGCGGGTGAAGGACAAACCTTTGTCAAGAGCTTTGCAAAAGCTTTCCAGTGAAATCCTAGACTCCTCTTGGCTCTGGCCAGGATCTTAGAAGACTGAGTGTACCTGAGTGAACCTCCTGGTACTGTGCAATCCTAGTAAACACCCCTCACCAAATGCTACCGATAAAAACCCCAGTCCAAGTGCCAGCTAATGCCAGTGTACTCTTGGCAAATATGATATTGAAGAGGAAAAGACATTTTGCATAATTAGTCTGAGTCATGGGGTGACACTTTGAAACTTGGAGCTTTTGCTCATTAAGGTTCAAGTATAAGATATTTAGATACTTTCGTATTCCTGGGGGCAGGGAGGCATTTTTTCCTAAATTTTCCTGAAGAAAAGCAATGACTTCACCTCGTGGCTTAGCAGTCACACCTCTGTCAGTGCTTGAAGATTAGCAGGCACTCTAATGGGCAGAAGTCATGGTACTCAGCATTCACTCTTTTTTTTTTTTTTTTTTGAGACGGAACCTCAAGCTGTCCCCCTGGGTAGAGTGCCATGGCATCATGCTCACAGCAACCTCCAACTCCTGGGCTCAAGCGAGTCTCCTGCCTCAGCCTCCCAAGTAGCTGGGACTACAGGCGCCCGCCACAACGCCTGGCCATTTTTTGGTTGCAGCCATCATTGTTGTTTGGCGGGCCCGGGCTGGGGATTCGAACCCGCCATCTTAGGTGTATGTGGCTGGCGCCTTAGCCGCTTGAGCCACAGGGGCCGAGCCTCAGCATTCACTCTTAAGAAAGTCTTCTGTTTTCTGTTCTCACCTTGGTGACAAGGAAGAAACTGTGGGAACTGGGGCTTCTTTTGCAGTAACCCTATGTAGAGGTCAGGCAATAGGTGGTCCTCCTTGGGTACGAATAAATTTCTGTTGATTACAAAAGGAGCTCTCAGCTCTACAAAGGGGTGAAAAGGATGGAGTTTGCCTCCCGAGATAGAGGAGCTGCTACGGGCCGGGCCGTGGCTGACACAGAATACTCCTCAGGCTCACAGCAGACAGGGTAGACCCTGGAGGCTACTAAATAGCTAATGAAAGAGGATCGTTATTGGAAAGGACTGTGCAGTCTAACCTTGAGTCAAAAAGTACTGCCCTGGCTTTTTTTTCCACTTCAATTTGTTTCGCTTCCTCCTTTTCATAGCCAGGTTGAACGAGCCATGTACATATGCTAATCACATTTTTCTGTGGTGGATTTTTAAGGGTGACTCTTAGTGTTGTAAAGGTGACCCCCTAAGGTGTGGAACTAAAGTGGGTGTGAGCTGTGCTGCCGTGGAGTCATGCCTTACTGATAACAGGCCCGTGCCTTTGTTTATTCCCACTTGGGTCTTTTTGCTCAGTATTTATCTGATAGGGCTGTTATTTCTTTTAGAAACTTTTATGAAATGGAAAAAAGGGAAAAGTACCTTCTAAGTTTGATTATTAACCATGTGGTTTTAATTTTTTATTTTTATTTATTTTTTGAGACAGAGTCTCACTATGTTGCCTTCAGTAGAGTGCAGTAGCATCATAGCTCACAGCAACCTCAAACTCTTGGGTTTAAGCCAGTCTCTTGCCTCAGCCTTTCTAGTAGCTGGGACTCCAGGCACCTGCTACTATACCCGGCTACTTTTTGTTATAGTTGTTGTTTAGCTGGCCCACTCTGGGCTGGAACCCCCCAGCCTCGGTGCATGTGGCTGGCACCGTAACCACTGTGTGGTTTTTAAAGCAGAGTACCACATTGTTAACGAATTTTGACTATCGCATTCCACCCGTTCTCCCACTGCCCCCGCCGCGGGTCTCAGCAGTGCGGGCAGTGCAGCTTGGGGAAGGCTCCTCGCGCCCTCCCCGCCAATGCCCCCCACTGCCCCCAAGAGGCCAAAGGTGCTGGGAAGGAAGAGCCCAAGAGGAGGTCTGCACAGTTGTCAGCTAAACCTGCTCCTGCAAAAGTGAAGATGAAGCCAAAAAAGGCAGTAGCAAGGGCTAAATCTTCCTACAAAATAGTGCAACCAGGGGCAGCACTTGTGGCTAAAGGAGTAGGGGGCTAGCCCAATATACTGGAGGTGGCAGGTTCAAACCCAGCCCTGTCTGCAAAAAAAAATGCAACCAAAAGGTAAAAGGAGCAAAGGAAAAGGAGGCCAAAGTTGCTAACCAAGAAACTAAAGAAGATTTACCAGCAGGAAACGGAGAAACTAAAACCGAGGAGAGTCCAGCGCTGATGAAGCAGGAGAGATAGAAGCCAAGTCTGATTCATATCACATACCATGTCTTATCAGTGGTCCCAGTCTCCCTTCTTGTACAATCCAGAGGAATATTTTTATCAACTATTTTGTAAATGCAAGTTTTTTAGTAGCTCTAGAAACATTTTTAAGAAGGAGGGAATCCCACCTCATCCCATTTTTTAAGTGTAAATGCTTTTTTTTTTAAAGAGGTGAATGCATTTGCTGGTTGTTTATTTTTTGGTAGAAACAGAATTATGGGAGGCTTTGACTATCTTGGGTGTGAGCTTACCATTCCATAGATGGGGGTTAGTTTTTATATCCTGTAATACAAAGCATACTAAATGGCAATATGGAGTCCCAGTCCTACATTTAATGTCTTGAACATTTTAAATTACTTCTATTCCCATGTTGTTTTTTAGTAGAATTGTTTCCTAAAGAAAACCACTCCTGTGATCACCGCTCTCCTTGTCAGGATTGTGTATGTTTTGTAACATCTTTGCCTGTGGTGCTCCTGTTTTCCTAATAACTTTGTAACTGTGCTGTGAAGAACTGAAAATTTGAGTATGTAGCATATATGGTAATAAATCGTGCATTGGTGGAACTTACCTAACAGGTTATCAACATTTGAAGATACTGGTGCTTGATATCTTCTTAAGGAAAATTTGCCTCCAAATTTTAATCTGGAAAGTCACTGGAATAACTGTTTAAAAAAGAATTAGAATAGGCTCAGTGCACTTAGCTCAGTGATTAGGGCACTAGCCACATACACCGAAGCTGGCGGGTTTGAGTCTAGCCCAGTCCTGCTAAACAGCAATAATAATTGCAACCAAAAAAATAGCTGGACATTGTGGCAGGCACCTGTAGTCCCAGCTACTTGGGAGGCCGAGGTAAGAGAATCGCCTAAGCCCAGGAGCTGAAGGTTGCTGTGAGCTGTGACACCATGGTATTCTACCCAGGGGGATAGCTTGAGACTCTTGTCTAAAAAAAAAAAAAAAAAAAAAAAAAAAGAAATAAAAAAGAATTTGAATAAATGGCTTTTTAGATTTTGGTACATATGTTAAGAACTGTGTACAAATTGAAGTGTCTGTACTGATGTTCAACACAACCAATAAAATCTCAACTATTAAAAATAATTTTGACTATTATAGTATTCGGCTCAATCAAAGGTCAGTCTCACATAGTCACAGATTTGGGCAGAGGGACTTCTAAGGTCCTCCCCCTTAGCCCTGTGGCACTATCTTCTTAATAAACAAATATAACCATACACAGTACATACAAAAACATGCACATGGGCATTACTGATACAGTTCTAGATAAATAAATGGCATAAAAGATGAGACACCAAAGCGCAGTGATCCCTAATCGTGAGGGAGGTGGGAATGACTGTACCTTAAATGTAAATATTGTTTCAAAAGAAAAGTTAACTTGATTGCCTTAGCAAATCACTTTATTTTAAAAGCACCGAATATGTCTAATGCCTACTTTCACTTAATCAAAATTGTGATGTTAATTAAGGTTCAACTAGGAATAACTTTTTTCATAATAAAGCATTATCCTTGTGATTAAAAGGATTGTGTATTTCGCAATGACCAAAGAAAATATCGCCCCACCCCCACCCCGCCCCGCATGGTGGCTCCTGCCTGTAATCCTAGCATTTTGGGAGGCTGAGGCAGGTGGATTGCCTGAGCTCATGAGTTCAAGACCAGCCTGAGCCAGAGCAAGACCTCATCTCTAAAAATAGCCAGGCATTGTGGCAGTGCCTGTTGTCTCAGCTATTTGGGGAGTTTGAAGTTGCTGTGAGCTATGATTCTCTGGCACTCTACTGAGGGCAATAAAGTGAGACTCTGTCTCAAAAAAAAAAAAAATGAAAGAAAGAAAAAATATTTCATAGGAGATCTATATTATTCATAGGAATGCTATTATTAAAATATGAGGTACTTTAAAATAATTCTTTTCATTTTACTTATTTGTAATTCTGTTTTAAAACAGTTTTAAAGGCACAAAACTATTATTTCAAAATGTCTTTTTCTTTGTGATGCCACTGTTACTTCCTTTCTAACTCATTTTCCAGAAACTATAGTTTCCCCTATTCAATCATTGAGAAGTAAATGTCATGTACTCCTTGCCAGATGTATGTATAGGCTGGAAGTTTAAAGATTAAATATATAAGACTGTATTAGATGAATGGTCTGCCATATAAAGGTAATGCTTTTCAATTTTATAAACACCTTTCAATTTTTTTTTTGAGACAGAGTCTCACTTTGTCGCCCTCAGTAAAGTGCTGTGGCATCACAGCTTATAGTAACCTCAAACTCTTGGGCATAAGTGATTCTCTTGCCTCAGCTTCCCAAGTAGCTGGAACTAGAGGCGCCCGCCACAATGCCCAGCTGTTTTTTTGGTTGTAGTTATTGTTTGGCAGGCCCGGGCTGGATTCAAACCCACCAGCTCCAGTATTTGTGGCTGGTGCCCTAGCCACTAAGCTATAGGCTCTGAGCCAACATCTTTCAATTTCATAAATAACACATTAAACACTTTTTAGGTGATAGAAGGTGTAGAAGAAGGGTAGGATTGACCAGAATCCTTATTTGAATCAATTTAAAAAGAGTATGAATGCTCGGCCAGCCTGCTCTTTGCCAAAGACCCTACCACTCCCTACTGCATTATTGCATTATTGTTTTTTACTTGTACATTACCCTCCTAGTCACCTCTTAGGAGACTCAAAAAAGAGGAGAAACAACCACAAGAAATTCTAGTCTGATCCAGTGACAAGTTTTTGGTTCAATAGCTTATCTCTGAGGGGTGGTTGGCAGTGTGGGAGTCAAGGGATGCCCACATAGCCAAGACCCATGGCAAGGATCTGGGTGGGAGGGCTTGAGGAGAGACATGAAGGACTTTTTTTATATCTTGGTTTTGCTCTGGGCAGGCCCTGATGAAAACAAACAAAACTTTCTGGTAGCCACCTTATAAACCTCTCTTTTTGTTTTTCTTTTTCTGTTTTGCCTTCTTATCAGGTGAACACACAAGATTTCAGAGGGCTGGTTCGGGAGGACGCTGTTCTATACCTGTTAGAAATCCCCAAAGGTGAAATGGTGACCATTTTAGCTCAGAGCCGAGCTGATGGTGAGTAAGTTTGATCATTTACTTGAGTTGGGGTGGAGGGTCAAAGGAAGGATGTTCTCGGTGTCTTGGGACCAGAATAGGCAAATCTGGGTTTTAAAAAATTGAAGGAGATCTTGATACCCAATCCTTGGGTTACAGGTGTGTGGAGAAATTAGGTGCTGTTTGACTTCTCATAAAAATGTTTGCTATGTTCCTACTGAAATAATTTCACTAGTGGTATCAATTTGGTGTAATTTGCCTTTCTGAACCGTGATGCAGCCTTAAGTTCTGCCGTGAGTTATTATTAAACTTCCATGTGACAGATACAAAGGCCCACACCTGCTTTGGGGGCCCACATTAACCCTTACCTTGCTGACAAGTCGCTTCCCCACCAATGCCCTGTTTTTGTCTGTAAAGGAGCTGTTGATAGTCTCTTCCCTTCTGCTTCAGAGGTTGATTGGCAACTGTATTAGTCAAGGTACTCGAGAGAAGCAGGACCTAGAGGAGGTACTGGAATCAATAGAAGATAAAGGGATTTGTTTTAAGGAATCAGCTCCCATAATCACGGAGGCTGACAGGTGCCAAGATCTGCAGGGTGAATTGGCAGATGGAGACCCAGGAGAGCCAGTGATTAGCTTGAGTCTGAAAACCAGGGAAGCCAATGGTGTAGTTCCATCTTAAGGGCAGAGAATAAAGCTAATGTCCCTGTTTTGTTTTTTAATTATTGAGACAGAGTCTCACTTTGTCGCCTCTGTAGAGTACTGTGGTGTCTCTACAACAACTCACAACAACCTCAAACTCGGGCTCAAGCTCAGCCTCCCTAATAGCTGGAACTACAGGTGCCTCCCACAACCCCCAGCTATTTTTTTGTTTGTTTGTTTGTTTGTTTTAGCAGGCCCGGGCTAGGTTTGAACCCACCAGCCCCAGTACATGTGGCCGGCACCCAAACCACTGAGCTACAGGCGCCCCCTGATGTCCCTGTTTGAAGGTCTTCAGGCAGAAAGAGTATTTATTTCTCTCCTATGTGAGAGAATCAGTCTTCAACTGATGGTATGAGGCCCACCCACACTGGGGACGGCAGTCTGCTTTGCAGCCCCACTATTCACATGTTAATCTCATCTGAAAACATACCCACGGAAACACCAACAATGACCAAATACCTAGGCATTTCATGCACGGCCCAGTCAAGTTGACACATAAATTAACTGCTGCAGCCGCTTATAGTTAGATACTCACTTTTCTTCCTATGGGAGCTGTGAGGGCCATGGGGCCTGTGCACCGACTGGAGAAGAGGAAAGGGAACGGCTGATCACTTTGTCTTTAGCTAAGCCAAATGCAGAAAACAGTGCTTTTCTCTTTCAGTGTATAGAGACATCCTGGCTTGTGGCAGAGGAGATTCGTTTTTTATAAGAAGCCACTTTGAATGTGAGAAGGAAACGCCACAGAGCCTGGCCTTCACCAGGGGGGAGGTCTTCCGAGTGGTGGACACTCTGTATGATGGCAAGCTGGGCCACTGGCTGGCTGTGAGGATCGGAAACGAATTGGAAAAAGGCTTAATCCCCAACAAAAGCAGGTATCTGAGATCGCACTTCTCACACACCCCTCTGAATCCCTTCCCCTGAAGAAAACAGAACTCCCTGCCCCTGTAACCCTGCGTGACTTCTTTATTTGTTCGCATCTACCTCTTGTTTATGGGAAGTGGCCTGAGTGGAAACAGCCACCAGTAGGTGTGCCATGTGCAGCCTCGCGGGTTGGCTGCGTTTGGATGGTTTCCTGAGGCGTGATCACTGCCTTGCACGGTGTCCGAGGGGAAGGCAGGGCAGATGTAGCCCCCTGCACGTCTCAGAGACGAGTCAGCCCTCCCTGGTGCCCGGTCTTCATGCCTGGGGAGGTTCATGCACCCCACTGGTTGAACTGGTTGGCTGGTTGGCTGCCAGCATGAGAACCCAGGAAAGATAACCTGCATTTTGGCAGGCGTTCCCAGCGTGTGTGCTGTGTGCCTGCGTATCAGAGTGAGCCACATTTGGCATGTTTGTTGTGTCTGGCCTTTGCCACCTTCCACGTGGAAGTCAGGGTCCTCAGGGGCCTCATGTTTCCTACCTCTGAAACGTCCTCGTCGTCAAGCAGAATCTTCTCTGATCTGAGTTCATAAGTCAAATTGACCAGATTTGGTTAACAACGTGCCCATTTGCTGCATTTTCTGGGCTCTCGTGATTTCCTTCTTGTGGTTTCTTCTCTCAGAGCCGAACAAATGGCCAGTGTTCAGAACGCCCAGAGAGACAACGCCGGGGACAGAGCGGATTTCTGGAGAATGCGCGGCCAGAGATCTGGGGCAAAGAAGAACCTGAGGAAGAGTCGGGAAGACCTAACAGCTGTCGTGTCTGTGAGCACCAAGTTCCCAGCTTACGAGAGGGTTTTGCTGAGAGAAGGTGAGGAAGCCAGGAAATGATCTGATGGAGTTTTGAGGCTGTTTCTCTTCATTTTCAGACTACAGTGGTCAAGTGCTGTATTGCTTATGCTAAAGACAGGTTATAGAATTGAAGTCATATTCTCATACAGAACATGACTTATAAAAAGTGAGCTCAAGCTCACTAATGGAAGCCTATTTCCAAAATCTAAAAAATTTGCCAATAGCAAAGTTTATCTTTAAAAATGGTAAAGCTAGGCCAGGTGCCGTGGCTTACACCTGTATGCCTAGCACTTGCGGAGGCTGGGGTGGGAGGATTGCTTGAGGCCAGGAGTTTAAGATCAACCTGAGTAATGTAGCGAGATCCTACCTCTACAAACAGTAGAAAATCAGCTGGGAGTCGTGGATTCACATAGTCCAAACAGTAGAAAATCAGCTAGGAGTGGTGGACTCACATAGTCCTCGTTATTCAGCAGGCTGAGGCAGGAGGATTGCTTGAGCCTAGGAGTTTAAGGTTTCAGTGAGCAATGACGGTGCTGTTACACTCATGCCTGGGCAACAGAGCAAGACTCTTTCTCAAAAAACAAACAAAAAAAAGATAGTTGAGGCAAAGAGCTGGACTGAATTGGGGGTAGGAGGGTGCACAATTTTGTTCGTTTGGTTGTGTTATTATCAAAAGCCTGTACAGTACCTTGCTGCTTGTCTTTTAACAGGTAGGCAAGCGTGTATGTTTTAACAGCCTCTCTTGTCTCATTTCAGCTGGTTTCAAGAGACCTGTGGTCTTATTTGGCCCCATAGCCGATATAGCAATGGAAAAGTTGGAAAATGAGTTGCCTGAATTGTATCAAACTGCTAGTAAGTCTTTCAGTGGTTTTTTTATTTTTCTTTTCCCCAAATTTTCATTTTGTAAAATTTCTCAAAGGCAAAGGAGTTGCAAGAATAATGAACATCTACATACCCCATCCCTCGATGTCCCAGTTGTTAACATTTTGCCATGTCTACTTTCTCTCCTCCGCCCCTTTTTGTAGAAATAGACACACACACCAGGCAGCGCCGATAGCTTGAAGGAGTAGGGCGCCGGCCCCATATACTGGAGGTGACAGGTTTAAATCTGGCCCTGGCCAAAAACTGCGAAAAAAAAGAAACAGACACACATATACATACACACACTCTGAAAAATTTCAGCTGAATCATTTGTAATTTTAAGTTGGAGACATAATACCTTATTCCCTAATATTTACATACATCTCCTGAGAACAAGGATGTTGTATGTTATTCTACATAACCATAATATCATTATCACAGCCAAAGAATTTGAACATTGATACAGTGTTATTTAGTATACAATATACTTTTCAAATATCTTCAATTGTCCCAGTTATGTCCTTCATTTAACTTTTTAAAAAAAATTTAGGGTACAGCCAAGGTCCATGCATGACACTTGATTTTTATGTCTTTCTAGTCCTTTCCTTTTCTTTAAATTTCTATTGTGACGTTGATATTGGTAAAGAATGATCCCCGTTGAACTGGCCTCAGCACTTCTCTATGGTGAGAGCTCGGTAGAAGGCACCTAACGTCTGATGTCCCATCATTGCTGATGCTCCTTTGGAGTATTTTGTTGTCACTGTTTTCTAGACAATTAACCCCCTGGTTTTGCTTTTGCAGAAACAGAACCGAAAGATGCAGGATCCGAGAAATCCAGCGGAGTGGTTCGGTTAAATACTGTGAGGCAAATTATTGAACAGGTGAGAAAATCCATCGGGAGCCCAAGTGGTCAGAAAGATTTAGATCCTGTTTTGTTGCAGTCACTTTTGGAATAGAACTTGTATTTTAACAATCATTAAAATGTTAATGATAAAAGGTTAATGTAAATGCAAGCTGTTTGGCTATCTAGAAACTAGTCCCCATTCTGTGGTGGTACCTTTTGAAATTTTCAGAGTTCTCAGCATTATACCAAGTATTCTGTTAATTCATTTTATCAGCAGTTCTAACAGATGGATAATATTGAAGTGGACATAATATGGAAGGAAATAGTTTCTGCTATTTGATTTAAATTTACAAGATATATCTGATATGGCCTTTACTTATTAAAACAAAATCTTTGATGCTGTCTTACTGTGTCTAACCCCTTCTGTGACTTCTCCCCGTCTGTGGCAGGATAAGCATGCATTACTGGATGTGACTCCGAAAGCTGTGGACCTGTTGAATTATACACAGTGGTTCCCGATTGTGATTTTTTTCAACCCAGACTCTAGACAAGGTATCAAAACCATGAGACAGAGGTTGAATCCAGCATCCAATAAAAGTTCTCGGAAGTTGTTTGATCAGGCCAACAAGCTTAAAAAAACATGTACACATCTTTTCACGGGTAAGTGAAATTTTGAGATGTAGTCTCTTTGCTTGGGATTAAAGAATGGAAGAAATAAGAAAATAATCTGGGCTCAGTGCCTGTGACTCAAGAGGCTAAGGCACCAGCCACATACACCTAAGGTGGTGGGTTCAAATTCAGCCTGGGCTCGCCAAACAACAATGACCAAAAAATAGCCGGGCATTGTGGTGGGCGCCTGTGGTCCCAGCTACTTGGGAGGCTGAGGCAGGAGACTTGCTTGAGCCCAGGAGTTGGAGGTTGCTGTGAGCTGTGATGACACAGCACTCAACCCAGGGGGACAGCTTGAGGCTCTGTCTCAAAAAAAGAAAATAATCTAAATGGAGAATTTGAAGTCTGTGCATGACTCCTTGAGAAATAGTTAAACCTATGAAATAGGCATATTAGACCCTGCCATTTATTTAATATTAATTGAATTTTTGCAATTTAGACTATTTAAAAATTAGCTAAAGATCCATGACATGGTAATAAAGAATAATTTCATTGAGGTCAAATTTTTGTGTGGGACCGCAGGGCTGATCATTTAATCTGGCCCAGCAGCCACATTTTTCTAGATACTGTGTTGCTATTCTCTTTGTGCCAGCAATGCATGCACTAACTTACATAATAGGGACTTACTTTCCTTATTAAAAAATGTCCCCCAAATAGAAACTTGAGTCCTCTGGATCGCGGATGGTTTAAATTATTTATTACTATGTTTTAGGTATGACAAAAATATGGTGGTAAAGAGCTCTTATCTTTTAGCAATGCATGCTAATTAAATATTTATAGATGACCTAATATGACCTTTGGAATTGGCATAAATCTGTGGTGGGGAAGTAGGCAGGGTACGGGTAAGACTAGCTGAGACTTGAAAGTTACTGAAGCTGTTTGAGGTGTACTTGAGCATTCGTTAAAATGTTCTTGACTTTTGTCTGTGTTTAAAGTAGACACTAGGGTTGGGCTCATGCCTATAAGGCGGGTGCATCACTTGAGCTTAGGAGTGTGAGACTAGCTTGAGAGCGAGACCCTGTCTTTACTAAAAATAGAAAAACTGAGGCAAGAGGATCACTTGAGCCCAAGAACTTGAGGTTGCTGTGAGCTATAATGCCATGGTAAGTCTAATCAGCACCACAGTGACTCTCTGCTTAAAAATATATATATAGGCGGGGTGCAGTGGCTCACACCTGTAATCCTAGCACTCTGGGAGGCCAAGGTGGGTGGATTGCTTCAGCTCATGAGTCTGAGACCAGCTTGAGCAAGAGCACTACCTAAAATAAAGTAGACACTAAAAATAGTGCACTTTTTTTTAAGTTCATATAATAAAGATTCTGCTGCTATTACTCATGATAGTAAATGGCCTAAGAATGTGACATATTTTAGTACCTGAATATGTGCACTACTCATTATAAATGATGAGTTATGTGAATGTGATGTAATAAGAGTTTAAAAGGGTTGCATGCTATAATCCTAGCAGTCTGGGAGGCCCAGGCAGGTGGATTGCTTTAGCTTACGAGTTTGAGAACAGCCTGAGCAAGAGCAAGACCCTGTCTCTACTAAAAACAGAAACATTAGTAGCTGGATCTCATGGTGGGCATCTGTAGTCCCAACTACTTGAGAGGTGGAGACAAGAGGATTGCTTGAGCCCAGGAGTTTAGAGTTGCTGTGAGATATGATGATACCATGGCACTCTACCCAGGGTGACAGAGTCAGACTGTGTCTCAAAAAAAAAAGGCGGGGGTTGCATAAATTTTTTTGTCATGCAGTGCATTATTTTGTAGGAATAACATGAGATGACCACATGGATATGATATCCTCATATCAGGATAGTGGTTGCTGTGTTGAGTCCCAGGCCAGTCATCATCCACCTATATCATTTTTTACAATATCTCTGCTACTGGGGAGGAAGAGGGTCAATGATTGTGTTCACATTAGACTCTTGTTTTTTTGTCACTTGGTTTTTCTTATTAAAGAGAGATGCAGTGCTTACCAGCATGGCCACATGTTGCAGCAGAGTTTAACCAAACACAGAGGAGGAAGTGCTTGATCATTTACTGCATTTCTGTGAATGTAGAGTCTTAAGTTCTTGCACTTTTGGAATCTTCACGCTTATCTTTTCTGTCATTTTTACTACTACTAGCAATTATTACTGTTACCATAGTAATAGTGAACAGCGATACAGCTTTCCATGTGCTGTCTTAGTCCATAATCGAGGCCCAGTGAGTTCTGCATAGTCACAGATCCAGTGAAGACTTTCCCCAGACTTAACCGTGGAGTCTGTGACTGTGTGTTCAACATCGTGCATATGTTACAGCACAGACATATTATTCCAGTGCCAAAGGGATCATCTAAGGCAATTCTTCCTTTTAACAGATAAGACATCAAGGCTCATGTGATTATGAATGATGTTTAAACTATCCCCACTTCATTTTTTTCTCCTGCCTTTGTATAAGTCTACTGAATGGCCAGAGGATACCTTCAGAGAGTTGAATTGGGGGTGCTATGAGGATGTGAGATATCAGGAAGGGAAATGGTGGGTTGTAGAGGAACAACCAGGCCAAGGAGGCCAGACAGGAAGGACAGCAGGAGAGAAGGTAGCCGGTGGCTGCAGGGCACTCCCTTTACGCAGCTTAGAGTCCACATCACTTGCTCTGCAGCACAAGCCCCAGTGGCTGGCTGATTCTCATTCCCCCGTGTGTAGAAGGGGTTACCAATGCCTCCATTCTTTCCACCAATAGATTACAAAATCTTTGGTGAGGTAGACCATATGGTATCCATCTCTATGTGCCTGAGGCCAGCTTCAGGCCTAGCAACCAGGCACAGCACAAGTATTTGTAACTTACACTGGAATTGCCTCTGGCACACCAAGCCATTTCTTGCATAAGACAGTCAGGAAGTTGAAAGCTTTAGGATAACTAAAGTCAGGTTGGAATGAAAACACACTGTGAGCACTGAGTTCCTCTTAGAACTTTGAAGTGACCCCTAAATTGCCAATTTCTTACGTAGAATTTCTATGTAGGGTAGATGGTACAGGCTGCTATACAGCTTTGACCAACAAGCCCCAATTTCCTAACAAATGGTCTTGCACAATATTCTTCCAAATGTAACAGCTGCACAGATAGTCTTATAGAGCACCTCCATTATTATGGCCCTCATTTCTTTCCTACCCCCCAAGCCCAGCTGGGTCTCAACTTGATGCCATGTGCAGTAGCCAGAACAGCAGTCTTCACACTTGAGCAGTAGACCCTTGAGACAGAATTAAATATTTTATAGGCTTTTTATGCTTTGAAATGTATGACATTTTTATAAATTAATAAATGAGAATGATGGTGCTGATTTGACGAGCCCAGCACTTTGGAGTTGAGCTTTCTATTGCGCGTAGTCTGACTAGGTGCGGTATCCTTTTTTTCCCCTTTTCCACAGTAAGAAAATCCTGTTTCCTACCGATGAGCATTTAATTATGATATTAAATTGGTTCCCCCTCTAACCCTGAAGTACTCAATTAAACAAGAAAATATCCTCAGATTTGCCCAAAAGCCAAGTTGACCTGTCCAAATAAGTTTAAATGTTAGGCTTGACTCCCCCCCAACTACCACCAGTTTTAAAAAATTTACTACAAAATACATTTGCAGGTGTATGTAACGAAAATCTTTTTTTTATAAAATGAAGTTTGTATTATGTGTTTTCATGGAATCTTCGAAGTGCTCAGTTCATGGTTTGAAGATCACTGAAGTAGAACTATGGATTTAGAGATGAAAGCAGGGGCACTCTTTATGTTAAATTGTGGGATTTTCAAGCCCCATGAAATATTTTAGCTCTTTATCAGCTTTCTGGGCTTTCATTAAAGTCCCTGCTGGGACTTTGAAGGTGTTTTGGAACAAATGCTACTGATTATTATTGGTGATACTACTTTATACTTATTTCTTAATATCGCAGTGTTAAAATTTTTTTCTGTGTCATTCTGCAGTCTTTGAGAAAGCTTAAGAGGGAAAAGTGAATCTTGTACCAGCTGTAAAAATCTAAACTGCAGTAGGTAATTCGTGGTTCCTCAAGGAAATGTAGATAGTCTGGAAGAGAAGCAGAGGGAAGATGGGGACCGTGGCTGTGGCTTGCCCATCTAGAAAGGGTCTAACACTCCAGTGTTGACAGAGCCACATGAATAGCTTTACTGAGATTTAATTTACATACTGTATAATTAACCCATTTAAAGTATACAGTTCAGTGGGTTTTAGTATACTCAGAGTTATGGAGCGGTTACCACAATTAATTTTAGAACATTTTTGTCACCCCTCAAAGAAACCCCATACCCTTGGCAGTCATTCCCCATTTCCCCCTTTCCCTAACCCCTGCAGTCTCACAGGTCACTTTTTGGCTGTTGGTCTGGATGCTTCCTAGCCTCCTCGGCTACAGGGGGGAAATAGCAGGCCAGGGCTGTGCACTGGTGCTCTAAGAATCCCAGTACTCAAGCTAAGGTGGAGGCTGAGTGAGCTTCCCTCCAGGATTTCACTCTCTGCACCCTAAGGATATGTTAAGTCTATCCGAGGGGAATAGGCCTGACTCAGAGGTTGGGAGCAGTAAGTAATTAACTAACACTGGTTGAAGGCAAAGAACATGAAAAGCCAAGTCAGTGAAAAGTACTCAATTCAGAGTCAAGGGAGGGTAACCGTATTTATCTGTGCACTTACCTGTTAAGAAGAGGTCAAGTGCATGAGTTGGGTATTACCTTTATGTGCAGCTTAGGAAGTGAGCTACTATGAAGCTCTTACGTTTTGTTCACGTACTTTGTGAACTCAGTAAGAGGTCTTGTGACTTTCTTCAGTTTATTGGAGGACACAAACGTATCTTCTGCCTTTCATAAATGGCCCTTTTAACTTCAGGTTTATAACTAATACAGACTATACTTATCTCAAGATGACTAATATAAAGCTTTAAAAGGCTGCTTAAAGTTACGTATGCATTTAATACAAATCGTTTACTCTCTGGGGTGTAAAAATCCCACTTCTATTTTTAAGTATTGTGGCATCATATTTTAGCTATAAGCACAATAATCTTTGCAAAGTACCTTGATAAGAATGCAGAAGTCTGTGGAATCAAGGTTAATTTTCCTTGGTTGTCCAACAGATCAGTTTATTCTAATGTTTTAAATAATTAATAACCAAGGAAACCATAAGCCCGTTCAGGATTTTCCAAGGTCATTGTCAGAACTTCTTAAGTGAAGGAAAGCTATATGTAATCAGGAAGAAAACTTAAGGCATAGTTCCTCCCCAGGTTTGCTCAGTCATTCTTTTCTGCTTTAGAAATGATGATACATAACACCATACTCTCTAATAAAGGGCCTGACAATGTAGATTAAAATAAATAGTAACTTATTGCAGTTTGGTTATCTTAGGTACAATTTAATTTATTATTCTGCTTGCTGGCTTATCTCTTTTAGGTCCATAAATGCATAAGAATGATTACATATGTTGTACTTTGTTGTACAAATTTTGTATCTAAATTTGGCCCATAGGTGAGCTATCCAGTGTGGTGGCTAAGGCCATAGGCTCCAAAAGCAAACTTAGGAGTTGAGTCTGCATCCAGGTTTTTCTTTTATTTTCTTTCTTTCTTTTCTTTTTCTTTCTTTCTTTCTTTCTTTTTTTTTTGAGACAGAGTCTCACTATGTCACCCTCAGTAGAGTGCTGTGGTATCACAGCTCACAGCAACCTCCAACTCTTGGACTTAAGCAGTTCTCTTGCCTCAGCCTCGCAAGTAGCTGAGACTACAGGTACCCATGACAGCACCGGCTACTTTTCTGTTGAGGTTGTTATTGTTGTTTAGCTGGCCCAGGCTGGGTTTGAACCTGCTAGCCTCAGTATATGTGTATGGCACTGTAACCACTGTGCTACGGGGGCCAAGCCTGCAACCAGGCTTTTCTATTTGGTTGGTGTGAAGTCTTGAGCTAGTTACTTTCACTACTATGCCTCAGTCTCTCACCTCAACTATGATGCCATGGCACTCTACCCAGGGTGACAGCTTGAAACTCAGTCTCAAAAAAAAAAAATAGGGTGCTGCCTATGGCTCAGTGGGTAGGGCACTGGCCCCATATACCAAGAGTGCCGGGTTCGAGCCTGGCCCCAGCCAAACTGCAACAAAAAAATAGCCAGGCGTTATGGTGGGTGCCTGTGGTCCCAGCTACTTGGGAGGCTGAGGCAAGAGAATCTCCTAAGCTCAAGAGCTGGAGGTTGCTGTGAGCTGTGACACCATGGCACTCTACCAAGGGTGACAAAGTGAGACTCTGTCTCTAAAAAGAAAATTAAAAAGTTAAAAAATATATATAATTTATTTATAATATGCATGCCTATGTAAATTTGGTATTTTTGTTTGTTTTAAACATATCTTTGCCGTCACACTTTTAAAAAACATTTTTTAAAGTTAGCTTTGCTGAAGATAAATATTTTACAGATCTCTTTTTTATCTTTATAATATCCATCTGTCATGTAAACTCAGACCGCTCGATGGCTAATGGTTTTAATTGCATTCAATGAAAGGGATTTAGTACTCAAATCTGTGCGTACGTTTTCTTGCATTTGTCAAAGTGTTGATTCCAATATGACAGAAATGAGTATCCATCATGTCAAATAGTGCCCTTCCTAAGCATCCCTCTGGAAATTGATGCACGCATTTTTGTTTACGTATCTATAGCTACAATCAACCTGAATTCAGCCAATGACAGCTGGTTTGGCAGCTTGAAGGACACCATTCAACATCAGCAAGGAGAAGCAGTGTGGGTGTCGGAAGGAAAGGTATGTGGCCTAGAGAACGCTGCTGTGAGGTGAGAGTTGGTGTTCTGAACCTTTTCTTAAGAGGGCCGTGAATGTAGTCAAACTGTGCCCACTTGAAGAGATTCTAACATGTGTATCAATCAAGTTTGCAATGTTACAAATTCTCTGACCAAGTAAGAAAAACCAAGGGGCTTTTCAAAGAAAAGCAGAACACGTTTCCGCACGGTCCTACATTCACTTCCCTTTGACTTTTAACGTAGTAACTAGTGTTGTATTCCAAGTACACTAATCAGAGCTTACAAGACCTCATGCTGAGCTCCACAGCTTGCGAAGGACGTGGGGAGACTTAGAGTGCAGAGGAGAGGTGAGGTGGAGGAACGTGAAGGAAGCAGTTAAAAATTCATAGGAAGAAGAAATGCAAATGGGATTGGAATTATTTGCTTAGAAAAGAAGGTGCCGGAGTGTGCCGTGGTTCTAGGTGTTTGAATAGGTGAAACGTGAGCACGAGGGAACTTGTCGAGGCCTCTAAAATCGGATAGCTTCTTGCCTGGGGAGATAGTTTACACGAGGCTGTGCTGCAGGGAGGCAGGCGAGAGATTATATAACCCACAGTCCCTTTTGAGATAAGGAGCTTTTGGTGCTAGTATTCTGTACTCCAGCTGAAGTGAGGTAGTTTGCAACTTGCTAGTGACTCCTTTGTTGCAGAATTGACTAAGTCTTGCTCTGGATGTGTAGTCAAGGTATCTGGCATCTGCTGAGTGCTTTACAGTCTGGAAGACTCCATGCCAGCCTGCCTGGAGAGGACAAGTTGAACAGGAAGTAGCTTCTGCTCCTTAAGATTTGAGAATCTTACAAGGACTAGAGATTGTGCAGTGCAAGGCACAGGAGGGAGGGACCAGGAGAGCAGGCTGGACGAAGAAAAGCCAGAGAATTGGAGGAAGTGTGGGTCAGTGGCTGCATCTAGGGGGGATGGAGTGAGAACAGGCTGGAGAGTGTCTAATTTGAGTTCCTGCACAAGCATCGCACCAAAGCCAAGTAACGTCAGGGAAAATAAAAAGGTGCCTTGCCTGGCTGGCTGGCACATACAGGTTTCAGTCACTTGGCCTGTGCCCTCGGGAATTCTCCTGAGTCCCACTCCCGGGAGCCTTGTCAGACCCCACTGACCCTCCGAAACAAATTCCTCTAGATGGAAGGGATGGATGATGACCCCGAAGACCGCATGTCCTACTTAACCGCCATGGGCGCGGACTATCTGAGTTGCGACAGCCGCCTCATCAGTGACTTTGAAGACACGGACGGCGAAGGAGGCGCCTACACTGACAATGAGCTGGATGAACCGGCTGAGGAGCCGCTGGTGCCGTCCATCACCCGCTCCTCAGAGCCGGTGCAGCACGAGGAGGTGAGGGGAGACAGGCCACGGGCAGGAGACTCCTCCGGACGGCTGTACTTTCAGGGTGTGGTAGAAGGCATTCCCACAGGTCACAGCGATGACTTCTAGGGAGTCTCTTACTCTGAGTCCATGCCTACACGATTTCGGCCGTGGTCCAGGGGATAGTGGAGCAGGAAAGTGAACTTGAGAAGAGGTTGAGTGGCCAGCACTCCTCACACCCATGCCCTAGGCACGATGGGTAAACAGAGTGGCTTTATGTGCGAGCTGTGCAAATTACAGTGGAACATTCCTTTGCAATACAATATTGTTGTATTACTTGTAACCTTTGATTAGATCTCTCTCTGTACTCTTAGATGTCCTTGCTTTCCTTCCCCACCCTCCCTTTAACCTTTCTAATCTTGCCAGAGCTCCTGAGTGTTTCCCCATCAGTTTCCTTCTCTCTTGTATTTCAATTTTTTAATTGAGTTCCTGATTAAATATTCATCTGATCACATACGCTCTGCATCCACTGGCCCACGATTACACAGCTCATGGAATCTGAGAAATCACATCACCAGGTGCTAAGTTAGGACCAGGGCAATTATTAGTTGTGCCTCAGAGAATGTTGGAACCATGATCTTTGTAGATGAGATTATCCACACTTGCATAATTATTGCTGTGGGTTTCTCTTTAGGAATTTAGCTCATTCTAGTAAATGATGGTTTTCCTTTGTGAAATAGAAGTACCAAAAAATAAGTTGAAGGGGCAGGAAAAACACACCACAACCACAGCAAACAATTAGGACGGATCTATGCTGCTAGACAAATTGTAAAGAATGAATGAATTACCAGATGTCTACAGACACAGGTGAGCTAGTGCTGAGAGGTTTTAGTTATTAGTGACACAAGAGATTTTAGACTTTAGAAGCGTTTAAAAAAAACAATTGTACTTTAAAGGAAGAGACTACTCAATTTGTTGGATGCAGCCAGTTTTGTCTTAAACATTTGCTAATGGAGTATGTTTGATATCTGCCTGTTCAGTAAAGAGCCACTGGGTCAGAACCTTGACATCCGAACTGAAATAAGTTGGCAGAACTCCAGCAAGACAGAGGGGTGCTCGCTTCTGTCTGCTTGGATATTCTTGTTGTGAATGAACCTTTGTGTCTTATAGAGCATAAGGAAACCCACCCCAGAGCCACGAGCTCAGATGAAGAGGGCTGCTAGCAACGATCAACTTAGGGACAATAGCCCACCCCCAGCATTCAAGCCAGAGCCGCCTAAGGTATGTGGCTGGGGAGCCCAGGATGGGAAGGAAGAGGAAGCACGTGCTCCTGGAGCCCCCAGATAGCCAGGGAGGAGCACACACAGTGAGATGGTGTCAAATTATGGTTTTCAACTCACAGTGTTCCCTATTATAGCCTGTCTTTAGCCTGTCTTTAGCCTGTTGAGTGACGCCCCAAATTGGGGAAGGGCAAAAGGATAGAAAGACAATATGAGCAGAGTCTATAATTTTAGGACTGAGAATTTATTTTATTTACTCTTTTTTGTAGAAAGAATAAAAAATTGACAAATGCTGTGCATGCCTAAAATCGCCAATCTCACAATCTGTTTTTCTTTTCCTGTCCAATTAAAGTTTTATGCCCACAGCCTGATTTAGATGCACCGGAAAACCCTAGCTGGTGAATTGCTAAAGAAAATCATCATCACCACTGCTTATAATGCCGTTCCTTGAACGAGCAGCTTGATTTAGTTGTTCAATAAATCATTATGCGGAACAGGATCAGTATAAACAAACAGGCTCATATCATATGATTCTTCACCTCCAATCAGAATCAAAGCAATGACAATAACCTTTTCTTTATACACCAGTAAAATTTCTATTAAACTCAATCATTTAAATGAGAAGAAAGTAATAATTGGGCCGTCACAAATAAGTAAAATAGCGACCTCATAAAATATCTCAGTGAAAATTTGCGAACAGAATGAGCCTCAAAGTGTGAGAGAGAAATGGCTGATAGCATTCCGCACTGCCCTCCTCCATCCCCACTCAGTCTCCTTCCCTCCCAGCTGGACATGGGTCTCACCTCTTCCTGTCTGGGCTGGGATATGCACCCTGAGTGCAGCATGGGCGCAGAAGCCCATTCTTCCAGTCCCAAAGCTTGCGACTCTAAGATTCTAATCCTTTTACCATGAAATTACCCATGATGTCCCCTACCTCCAGCAATAGCACTTGTTCAGCACCTCGTGGTTTCTTAATATTCTCCTGTAGGTAGGACGGGCAGGTGGGGTCCTGAATGCCCCTCCAGCCAGCCGTCATTTGCCCGGCTTTATTACATTCATCCCAGAATGGTATTTGTTGACCACCTTTGGAAACTGATCAGGAAATGAATTGTATTAAATCACTAATATAGATTTGAAAATCAGCTAAAAGCCCAAGGTAAAAACATGTTATTGCTTTCTGCAGGCCAAAACCCAGAACAGAGAAGAATCCTATGACATCTCCAAATCCTACGAATACAGGTCCAACCCCTCTGCAGTGGCTGGGAGTGAAAATCCTGGGGCGTCTACCAAAGCTTGTCCTCCCCCCATTGCAGCGAAGCCTGTCTTTGGGCGGTCTATACTGAAGCCCTCCACGCCTGTGCCTCCCCCAGAGGGCGAGGAGGTGGGAGGGAGCGCCGAGGAGCAGGATAATACTCCCAAATCAGTCCTAGGCAAAGTCAAAATATTTGAGAAGATGGATCACAAGGCCAAATTACAGAGAATGCAGGAGCTCCAAGAAGCCCAGAATGCAAGGGTAATTTAATTGTTTTGCACTCTGTCGCCTGTAAGTTTTAGAGTTCGATTTCAGTCTAACGGTGCACAGTCCTTTCCCCCTGCCACAGACATGACAGGGATGTTCTCACACTAGTGAGCGTTGCCAGCTCTCAAGAGCCTCCCTTTTTTGAAATTTCTAATCAAGAAAGTCTAACAATAGAGGTGAATAAGATTCTGCTCTTCAGACTTCAGAACTTTGCCTTGGGTTCTGGAATGGGGAGCTGCGAGGAGAGAATCAGTGCCACTTGGAAGTTATTTTCCGTGTAGTTAGGATGTCTGTGGTGTTTATTGGTCTTCATTCATTCCCGGAGTTGCCGCAGAAACCAAGCTTTGGCTGCTAACGTTGAAAAGCCATAGATTGTACGTTCTGAGCTGTTTTTGTACTACGGGCTCTTAACAACCTTTCAAGTGTAAAGAAGAATTTAACCAAACTCCTCAGTATATTCTGAGCAGTAGATAATGGGAGTTTTCTTCATTCAAGCCTATCACGGCAATAGCAGTGCTTGTGGGGACTTTTAAATTTGTTTTTTATTTGTGGTAAAATATATATAACATGAAATTTACCATTTGGAGCATTTATTTTTTTTTATTTTTTTTATTTTTTGCAGTTTTTGTCTGGGGCCAGCTTTGAACCTGCCACCTCCGGTATATAGGGCCAACGCCCTATTCCTTTGAGCCCCGGGCACCACCCCATTTTGAGCATTTTTAAGTGTCCGGTATCATTAAGTATATTCACACTGTTGTGCAATTATGACCACCATCTGTCTGCAAAACTCTGTGCCCAGGGAAACTGACTTCCCCTCCCCCCATCCCCTGGAAATCACCCTTCTACTTTCTGTCTCTATGAATTTGACAACTTAGGAACCTCATATAAGTGGACTTATGTGGTGGTGGTGTGGCTGGCTCATTTCACTAAGCATGAGCGTCCCTAAGGCTCATTCAGGTTGTAGCATGTTTAAGAGTTTTAGTCCGTGGACCAGGTACAGTGGCTCATGCCTATAATCTCAGCACTTTAGGAGGCTAAGATGAGAGGATCATCTGAGGCCAGGAGTTTAAGACCAGCCTGGGCAATGTAGCAAGACCCTATTTATTTATTATTTATATATATATATATTTTTTGAGACAGAGTCTCACTATGTTGCCTTTGGTAGAATGCTGTGGCACCATAGCTCACAGCAACCTCCAGCTTTTGGGCTTAAGCGATTCTCTTGCCTCAGCCTTTCAAGCAGCTGGGACTATAGGCGCCTGCCACAATACCTAGTTAAAACTCCTAGTTTTTTCTTGGAGTTGTCATTGTTTAGCTGGCCCGGGCTGCGTTTGAACCCACCAGCCTTGGTGTATGTGGCTGGTGCCATAACCACTGTGCTATGGGAGCCAAGTCACAACACCCCATTTCTAAAAGAAAAAAAAAGGTGAAAAATTAGCTGGATGTGGGGTGATGGCACACCTATAGTTCCAGCCACTTGGGAGGCTGAGGCAGGAGGATCCCTTGAGCCCAGGAGTTGGAGGTTACAGTGAGTTATGATTGTGCCACAGCACTTCAGTCTGGTCAACAGAGCAAGACCCTGTCCC